TAAAGTCACACAAGAATAAAGTTGAAATATTACAAGAATAAACTCATGATATTACGAGAATAAAGTCGTATTATTAAAACAATAAAGTCATAGTATTACGAGAATATAGTCGTACTATTATGATAATAAAGTCGTAATGTTACGAGAATAAAGTCACAACAGTAAAATAATATGAGATTAAGTCGAAATATTTCGAGAATAAACTCATATTACGAGAATAAAGTTGTAGTGTTACAAGAATAAAGTTGTAATATTACAACAATAAAGTCGTAATGTTACGAGAATAAAGTCGCACAACAGTAAAATAATGAGAAGAAAGTTGAAATATTCCAAGAATAAACTCATAGTATTACAAAAATAAAGTAGTAATATTACAACAATAAAGTCATAGTATTACAATAATAAAATTGTAATTTACGAGGATAAAGCTGTATTATTATGAGAATGGATTAATTTTGTTTCTTTTAAATTAATGAATAAATAAAATACTAAAGTTGTACGAAAGTAAAATAATATTAGAATAAATTCCTATTATTACGAGAATAAAGTCATACAAGAATAAAGTCGAAATATTACGAGAATAAACTTGTATTGCAAGAATAAAGTCATAGTATTATGAGAATAAGTTGAAAATTTACGAGATTAGTCGTAGTTTGACAAGAATAAAGTTGTAGTATTACGAGAATAAAGTCATAATATTACAACAATAAAGTCATAGTTTTACAAGAATAAAGTTGTAATATTACGACTATAAAGTCGTAATAGTATGACAATAAAGTCATAGTATTACGACAATAAAGTCATACAAGAATAAAGTCAAAATATTACGAGAATAAAGTTGTAATATTACGTCGATAAAATCATAGTATTACAACAATAAAGTTGTAGTATTACAACAATAAAATATTAGTATTACGACAATAAATTCTTAGTAATTACGACAATAAAGTCTTAGTATTACGACAATAAAGTCGTAATATTACAACAATAGTCGTAGCAGATTTAAATCTGGATAAATTTGAATAAAATTTGTTTTGTTTGTTAGCAAAATTTCACATGAAACAGGAAAGGATTTAATGAAACTCAGAAATAATCATTGGAGATATATCTGAAGCTGATTAACCTGTGAAGTTTACCCAATTCAGAATGGCCAGCGCAGCTAATCAACCATAGTGATTAAAAGAATGGCTACAGCTGCCAACTTTACAGATATTAAAGCCCAAATAGTTGTAAAGATGTGGGATTTTCAAAGCTTTTGATGGGAATTCTTTTGATTGCGTAACATCTATGATAAAATAACCATTAAATGTGCATCATTCACTACCAAAAGTCTACCACTTAACTTTTAATAAGCAAGGTCAGCAGTTGTGTTTGTTACCAACCATTACAAAGCTGTAAACAAAGGTGAAGAATTATATATATTAAAAAAAATATATATATATATGTATATATATATATATATATATATAAAAATTTCTTCTTTCGGCTGCTCCCTTCTTCAGGGGTCGCCACAGCGAACTAAGTCGCACGAAGACTTGGCAGTTATTTTTATGCCAGATGTCCTTCTCCTTCCTGACACAACCACAGACCACCGAGCTACCACAGCCCTCTGTGTGGAGCAGAGAGCTGCTATCTAGGACACCCGGAGGAGCAGATGGTGGGGGTTAAGGGCCTTGCTCAAGGGCCCAGAGTGGGACGAATGAGGGTGGGGACAGGTGCTTCACCTACCCCACAAACATTTTTGATGTTGTCGGTACCGGGGCTTGAACCGGCAATCTTCCAATCACAGACCCACCTTCTCTAACTTCTGCGCCACCACTCCCACTGTCATTAACAACGTTAAAACTCAGAACACTGTTACTGCTGCACCTGGGCTGCCCCGCCTTCAACCAGGGGTGGCGGGCAGCTGCAACTTAAAATGATTTCAAGTATTTATTTGTTTATTTTTACATAATTTGGGCTTCCAGCTCATGAAACCCATGAAAACAGGAATTCAATCAAATACAGTAGAATACTGTGAAGACATCAGGCCACACTACTTCTCAGTTTTTGCTGAAAAAAAAAAAGAAATTAGGATCACAACAAATCAATCAAAATATGGTACTTTCAAAATGATATGTCAGTCTTCAATACTTGGTTGGGAATCCCTTTGTCTTAATCACTGCCTCGATGTGACGTGGCATTGAGTCAATCAGCCTGTGG